ACACTATAAGGTAATGTTATACACTATAAGGTTATGTTATACACTATCAGGTAATGTTATACACTATAAGGTAATGTTATACACTATCAGGAAATGTTATACACTATAAGGTAATGTTATACACTATAAGGTAATGTTATACACATTCAGGTAATGTTATACACTATCAGGTAATGTTATACACTATCAGGTAATGTTATACACTATCAGGAAATGTTATACACTATAAGGTAATGTTATACACTATAAGGTAATGTTATACACTATAAGGTAACGTTATACACTATCAGGTAATGTTATACACTATCAGGAAATGTTATACACTGTAAGGTAATGTTATACACTATAAGGTAATGTTATACACTATAAGGTAATGTTCTGTGTTATACACTATCAGGTAATGTTATACACTATAAGGTAATGTTATACACTATAAGGTTATGTTATACACTATCAGGTAATGTTATACACTATAAGGTAATGTTATACACTATAAGGTTATGTTATACACTATCAGGTAATGTTATACACTATAAGGTTATGTTATACACTATCAGGTTATGTTATACACTATCAGGAAATGTTATACACTGTAAGGTAATGTTATACACTATAAGGTAATGTTATACACTATAAGGTAATGTTCTGTGTTATACACTATCAGGTAATGTTATACACTATAAGGTAATGTTATACACTATCAGGTAATGTTATACACTATAAGGTAATGTTATACACTATCAGGAAATGTTATACACTATCAGGTAATGTTATACACTATAAGGTAATGTTATACACTATCAGGTAATGTTATACACTATAAGGTTATGTTATACACTATCAGGTAATGTTATACACTATCAGGTAATGTTATACACTATAAGGCAATGTTATACACTATCAGGTAATGTTATACACTATAAGGTTATGTTATACACTATCAGGTAATGTTATACACTATAAGGTAATGTTATACACTATCAGGTAATGTTATACACTATAAGGTAATGTTATACACTATCAGGAAATGTTATACACTATCAGGTAATGTTATACACTATCTGGTAATGTTATACACTATAAGGTTATGTTATACATTATCAGGTAATGTTATACACTATAAGGTAATGTTATACACTATCAGGTAATGTTATACACTGTAAGGTAATGTTATACACTATCAGGTAATGTTATACACTATAAGGTAATGTTCTGTGTTATACACTATCAGGTAATGTTATACACTATAAGGTAATGTTATACACTATCAGGTAATGTTATACACTATAAGGTAATGTTCTGTGTTATACACTATCAGGTAATGTTATACACTATAAGGTAATGTTATACACTATCAGGTAATGTTATACACTATAAGGTAATGTTATACACTATCAGGAAATGTTATACACTGTAAGGTAATGTTATACACTATAAGGTAATGTTCTGTGTTATACACTATCAGGTAATGTTATACACTATAAGGTAATGTTATACACTATCAGGTAATGTTATACACTATAAGGTAATGTTATACACTATAAGGTAATGTTCTGTGTTATACACTATCAGGTAATGTTATACACTATAAGGTAATGTTATACACTATCAGGTAATGTTATACACTATCAGGTAATGTTATAAAATATAAAGTAATGTTATACACTATAAGGTAATGTTATACACTATCAGGAAATGTTATACACTATGAGGTAATGTTATACACTATCAGGTAATGTTATACACTATAAGGTAATGTTATACACTATCAGGTAATGTTATACACTATAAGGTTATGTTATACACTATCAGGTAATGTTATACACTATAAGGTAATGTTATACACTATAAGGTAATGTTATACACTATCAGGTAATATTATACACTATAAGGTAGTGTTATACACTATCAGGAAATGTTATACACTGTAAGGTAATGTTATACACTATAAGGTAATGTTATACACTATAAGGTAATGTTCTGTGTTATACACTATCAGGTAATGTTATACACTATAAGGTAATGTTATACACTATCAGGTAATGTTATACACTATAAGGTAATGTTATACACTATCAGGAAATGTTATACACTATCAGGTAATGTTATACACTATAAGGTAATGTTATACACTATCAGGTAATGTTATACACTATAAGGTTATGTTATACACTATCAGGTAATGTAATACACTATAAGGACACACCAAGACTTTCTCGATTTGCTATTAGTTTATCTTGAAAAAGACACAACTCAAAACAACAATGCAGACAACATATTTTGAGAGAATTGACTGTATGATAATGAGAACGTATTCCTTATTATCGATTTAAAATGCAGTCAACAGTAAACGATTGTCAGCTCATAAAAAAGACGTGATCATTCAAACCGGTCTCTGGTTCAAGTTGACATATTACATTAACAGAAGAATGTTTTTTTTCCAGTATCAAGTTCTGAATCATATGCACATAACATCAGTGCACCTAGACATGTTTCATATTATATTGTTACAATGCCTTGCTTAAGAAATATTTATTGTATTAAACCAAACTTTCCATATTATATGTCGCAAACAACACGACCCTTGAGAGTTCTTTTCGCAGGATTTTCTAAGTACTTACTTGGAAATATTGATTTCTATTCTAATGAATCATTCTGATATGCTTACTTTATTTAGAATTTGTCCCCGGTGACACTTTTCTAAGCAATTAACACTAAGATTCAATAATAGACCCTGTCCTATATTGCTTGACATTCAATGACACGTGGCTACCAAAAGCATTTTTAAATCAACGAGAAGAAAATACGATCCTGTCTAAGCGTTTAATGTACCTTTCAGACGTAGATGTAGACCTTACATTTTGTACATGAACAACAGGACAGTGACAGACACCTTGCCTAGACTTCAGCTCCTATTGCAGATATTTGACGACACAATGTCTTGCGATAATGAGAAATGCATCGATCACATTGGAAGAGCATGCGATTTAACACCAAGGACAACATTTTACTTCCACTATGATCAACAAGAATAATTTACCACTAAATTGCTCAATAAACCTGACGTTTTCGATTTCCGTACTATAGACAGTGTTGTATTCGTCTCTGATGATAATTTATTGAAAGGCTTTCTTTGTAAATAAAGTTGTATGACAGTACGAAGTTTCAAGGCATCACAAGCTTAATAAAGCCGAAATAACCAATCTTTATCATTTTATTGAGAAATATTTCTTTTAATACGTATCAGAGTTAATATTTATGCTTATCTCAATCATTGTCCATTAAGAATTTGGAGCTACAATAACGATTCCCAATTAACGAATGTTCTGTCGTTTGTATTCCACATCATACTGACGCGGCCTCACCAATACGTTTATCGTTCCAGTAATCGAGATATTGACTTTTTTTTAAAATTTGCAATCTATTCCCGTCTCTTTCTGTGTTCATGAAACGGAAAGTTATTAATTATTTACCATTGTTTTCATTCAAATATTTTTTTGATAGAATATGAAATGAAAATGTTCAAAGACCTGAGATCCTTCGTTACTTCTCACCATAATTCAGCGTTTCCTTTTGGCCAGACATGTGGCAATGTTATCAGAAATAAATTTACTTTGAACATTTCGATTACAATTTTTGGAAACCTCTAACTTTATCCGCTTTAACGCATATCGCTTACCAACCAACAATGACTGCTTCTAGAAGGTTTGCGTTTTAACCTCCAAATAACAACACTAAGAAAGTTAGCATTATTTGAAATATAAAAACCATTTCTGTTTCTGGAAATTTCTATAAGCTAGCATGTGCTAGTTTTGAAAAATACATACTGCAACGGTTTTTTCCCCTGATGTGAACTCCACTCAATTGTACATATTCTTTTAACCTTTAACCTTAGGGATTTAACTTCTTTATGCTTGTGAAGATTATAAAACGTCTTGGTATCATAGTCCTATAAAAGCAAACTGAAATGTTCAAGAATAAATCCGGAAAATTGAACGAATGTTTTTTTTTTTTTTTTTTTGTGATAGAACATGAGCTAAAAATATGTTTTAATGTGTTGGTTATCATAAAGTCATGTTAAACTATTTCAGCGTACTTTTCCAGCCAATTACTTGGAATATAGACAACTTCCCATTAAAATAATGCACCTCTTCCTTTTTTCTTTTTTTCAGTAATTAGATTTACGAAATATTCCATACAATTTGTTCGTATTAGTTATAATTCGGATACACGAAAGTTCTGGCGCATACAAAGAGAGATTGGGGATTGCATTATAAACACGGCGTCGGTTCTTAACATAGATATTGGCCTAAATACGCCCTGATATAACGAGACTTTGAAGATGTCTTCGTTGGATAAATAACTGGCATTAAGGTAGATGGAATTTGACTACCACTCCGGCGACCCATTTGCAAAAACCTGATGGAATCTATTAACATGCGTACTACCTTTTATACTTAAGTCGTAATAAATGCGTTTAGGAGAAACCAAAGACTATGACTAACAAGAAATTATGACATGCAATTACTGTAGGAAAGGTACGGTTTTGGCAGAACGAAACGAGTTTTATATCGCATTTGCCAGTGTTTCTAACAGCTTGAATAGTTGCACAGATGACAATAAATACAATACACTGTAACAGTGCATGCTTAGGTGAATGTAAATACAATTAGCGTAGCACTGGGAATCGGTATCGGATAACTAATTAAAGATGTCTGCTGAATAGTTACAACATTATGCCACACTGATGACATGAACAACTCAGTAAGCATATCATGTCACATGGGGTAAGTGACACACGTTCTAAATAATCCACTGAATAGCTGCCTAAGTGTCAATTTATATCTGCTACGCATTGGCCAACATCACATTCTTCTTACCGAGCAACCATTGTGCATATTCCTTTTACCTAACTCTCCCAACTCAATACGTTATCGGATGCCCCGCCTAAACAGAGAGAAGACATCTGCTTACTTCGATTTTTCATTTTGTATTTTAAGGAGGTTTCTGCAGTTAGAACTGCTCACAGTACAAGGGACTGCGACGATATGTGAAGACTTCATACACATTGTAGCAGAAAGGTAAGAGCATAACCAGTCATGATGAATGAAGACTTGTAGTTTCAATAGTGGTGCAGCGTCCAGGTCCTAGTTGTTCAAAGGCTGCTTATCCATAATTAGTGGTTATTGAACATTTTGGAGACAAACTTGAAAACATTCTGTACCATTTTATAAATATAGATTTATTGCTTTAGTCCAAATTGTTATATTTTTAATATTTCTTTTTTCATAAACACTATTATGTTTTTAGTGACTGTGTTTTGATTTTGTAACTAACCACTGATTAAGTCTTAACCTTTGAACAATCGGGATCAGGTCTTTCAAAGAGCCAGGTATGTAGAATATGTTATGTATCATTATAGTTAGTTTTACTTTTTCACTTGTACTTCCTTGATAACAGGTATATTACTATTAAAGTATCATTGCTAAATAACATTACAGCATTACATTTACGCCTATGTCTATTGAACTTTGAATAATTAAAAACAGTGTAATTGTATATAGTAAAATGTTGAACGGGTATAAAACAAACAGGTAAATAACACATTTTCGAAATTAAAAAATAATATGTTTAATTGATATTTCTTTTTCTGAAAGCATTTATGTAACAAGATAATAATTTATAACCATATTAGAAAGCTTTCTCGTGTGTAAAACATGTCAGTGGCGTTGATCTGGACTCACTTTTGTGTTAGTCAATCGTTTGATGTGTTTCCAGTTATTGATATATACTAGAACCAACGTCCCATATAGTTACATAAGATGTCTCAAAGGTCGTGCAAACGCATCTCATACTCACTAATGTTGGATAAAAAGACACGTAGAAATTGATCTATATGAATTGTAAAGGAAAGCATGTGCCCTATTAATTGATTTTGCTATTGGGTTTTGAGATATTAAACGAAACAGTAAACCGAAAATCACAACTTAATCTAATATAAACTCCACGTGAAAGATATCCTCATTTTGCAATCAATAAAATAACCATTCGAATTGGAGAGGAAAACATTATTGAATCCTTTTTTAAGAAAACGAGACAAGAACAATTTTTCAAAATCTTTATTTGTTTTTTTTTTTTTTTTTCAATTTTTTTATTTGAAATATTTTTCTATCAAATGTTTATTGGAATTCCTCAATAACTAAAATGAAGAGATATAGTTTGAAAATTAACAATAGGACAATACTACTGCAGATGACATCATTTGTTATAATGTTTTATCATTGTGTTATGTATTTATATAATGAATACTCTGTTGAATGATGGAGATGCGTAGTTTTGTTGGCAACACAATATAGTCGTTTAAGAATGTAACAGATTTTACTCTAACATCAATTATAATTATATTATTGAACAAACACTAAATTGTGGTGTTCTTGTGACATATACATATACATATACACGAAAGTAATGACGTCAACGATGATGGTCCTATCACCAAGTGGTTGCAAGTTACGTACAAAGTCATGTTGCTTCTGGTACAGTGTATTTTGTCCAAAATGAGGTAAAATTACTACATAATGTCAAATCCTAATTGTTTTCCATTGACTATAATGCAGTCATCAAATAGAATGGTAAGCAAATGTTATTAACCAATACCAGTGGTAAATGAGAGGAAAATAAGTGACGTTTTTTACAATATGAGAAAACGGTAATAAAGGGTTGATAGGGTGCCGAAATCATTCAAGCGTTAAACGCTGCATGAACGGAAGAGCTCAGTGAAGTTTTCTTTGGGGGAAATTATCCCCAGGTTGTTATTTATCAACTTTACCATTATACCCCGGCTTTCACAAATATAGAGGGAGATGGCTGTGGGCATGATCCAGGCTGTAGAGTCTCGAGGTCTACTGGCGTAGGCATTTTGGTTGCAATTTCAAAACCATGTATCGTTTGTTATGTCACTCAAATCAAACTGGGTCAACATTCGATCGTCCTCGAAGTGGCCGACCCAATAAAACGACCGCAAGTCTTGGCCACCGTATTTGACTATCGATTCCTTACCACTGTAGATATGGCAAGTATATTGTTAGGGCGTCGTGTGTCTTCCCAAGCAGTTCGAAAAATATTGAATGGAAGTTTACCTTTTAAAAGTTCGACATTGCTACATTGGACGCATCATGTTGCGACGGCTTCTGAATAATCGCTGTAATTAGGCTGTCGTTGGGCCTTGAGACAATGGAACAATCTTGGTTTCAGACGAGTACCAATCATGACCGCAACACGAAAGTCGTAGAGTGTGGAAGCGATGAGAGTCGTAGGACGGGTCCTATTTGTAGGCGGAAATGTTATAGTTTGGTGCGGTAATAAAGGTTGGGGGAGGCGCCAGCGCTAGAGGACACTAGTCCCACCAGCAAATCTTTCCTGTGGTAGAATAACATGCATGTGGTATGTTGGCGTTCGAAATCACCTGATTTGTCACCAGATGTGAAAGTTATAAGGCAACGCGTGGCAGAACGCCAAAATCAGCCGTGAAACTTACGGAAACTTTCTGAAGCCTTGAATAGAACAACACCTCGCTTTGTATTATCTGTCTATTTACGATTTCTATGCGACGGCGCTACATGGCTATGTACTACACAACGGTGGTCATGCCCGTTTCTAATGCTTTTCATTTTAGATAAACTAAACGTCCTTACACGTCAAAGAAAACCGACGTTTTTTTTACATTAACATGAGAGCTGTTTATCCAAATTGGTCAACTGCTTTATTCATAATTAGTAAGGATTTCTTAAGGGAATATCTAGTCAATTATAGCTTATTTACTTATTTACTTATTAACTTATCTATCTTTTAGTATTTGTTATTCACAAAGGTGTAAGGAAATCGAGTGTTTGAAACATAATGGCTTGTATTGGGAAACGTTTTCTCTGGTTAATTATGAGTAAACAGATTTCCGTTCGCTACACAAGACAGTCATCGAAGCGTAACACATAGACACAGATTATTCAATAGCGATGAACGACCATCTAAACAGATATTTCGTCATATCTCATTAGACATTAATAAGTGAAATGGGTTTGATGTAGAAGCGTTATCTCTTTAACGCCATAAAATAGTGACGTCACAATAGACAACATGAAAATAGTGACCTCACAATATACAAGACAGTTTTTGAGGAATAGGTTGTTGTAGGAAACATACAAACGTTTCTGTTTACCAATATAAAACACTATATTATATATTAGATTAAAAATCATAGCATATGTAGATGAGGAAACATGAAAAATAGAATACCAGGATTTCTAAAATATATTTCAATATTTGACAAAATATAATTAGTGATGTTTTAGGTGCTTCAATACCATTATGTACAATAGACAGATAAAGATATATTGTGACTTTAATCAGCCTCCACAGAAAACGGGTGGGGGGTGTTATAGAGCATTCACTGTTTTTTTATCCAGTTAAAGTAAATAAACGGTAAATTCGTACTGCATGCTCAGTGCAGAATTATATATCTTCGGTAGGTACTTTGGCTCTAAATAGTTTACTAATTAATGAATTATTACGTGGTATTTCGTGTTGTTATTTCATACCAAAAAGATGATAATTTTTCTCCGCTCTCTATAATTTCGTTGTAGAAAATGATCCTGTAAGGAATCACTGCATCCAAAGTCTACGTGAATCACCAACAAGTAGTCAGGACAGTTAACTATCACATGTTAAGGATGTTGACCGTGGCCATGGAATGGATGACACTACCAGTGCTTATTATACTCATGGGTTGTTTCCCTGGCATCACATGGGGGACAAGGTCTGCCCACGAGGTTTTAGCTCATGCTAGGTGGTGTACAGTTACTTATCCCTACCCCACACTGTCTCACCTCTGGTTGCTAACCAAAATCACATTTAAAATAATAAAATTGAACTTTGTTCAATTCCTTCAACAATCTTAATAAAAAAAAAACATGAAGACATTTTACCTAATTTGGCTCTTGAATTCAATTGACCTGAATATTTTTGTCTTCTGGAACCTCTTTACAGTAAACAACAGTTCACGTTATTGTTATATAGCAATATAAAACACGTGCATCTGAAATAGTGATCATCTCGGACAAACTGCAAATATTTGGAAAGAGTTAATGATACACATTAGTGTATATGATACCGATTTCTGACAGAGGTGAGACAATGTGACACTTTTTTTCGTTTGATTCTTCATAACGGTGAACAAGTGTTTCTGATATACTTTCTATGTATATATATTGGCCGTAATTATCCCGTCACATTACCTGATATTGATGTTGTCATATGCTCTACACGAAAAGTTTATTATTATTATTATTATTATTATTATTAATTATTCATCATTCAAAATATTATTTGATTTCATCTCCTTTTTTTTTTTTTTTTTGTCATGTGCAATATTACATTCAACTCCCTATTATCTGTATATCAGCAACACTGTGTTATCATAGCAAAATGTTCACGTAATCTTTCCTCCGAATTTCTAATTATGTAGGCATTGCATACACATTCTTGTAGGTCATTTTCCTGTAAGACTTCTTATTCCGTATCAACAATGATACATATGTATATAGATAGAGTATATATTCTTGCTATACATGCATTAGTTGTTTCTCTTAGACAAGATTTGTAGACAATCACAATATTACATAACAATAATAATTTGCTAGAGACGTGTTTTACAGAGAAGACTTGATCGTTCAACAAAGTCCGGACTGAACGGATGACGGGTTTGTTAATACTTAACCACAATACGTAAGGATAAGATATCAGCGTTTGGCACGGGTGAAATTTATTTTCATAATAAGATAAAATGGATATATGCTTATTTTTTATCAAGCAATGATGGACGTTTATCCCATAGGTATGACTATTTCAACAGTCGGAAATTTATAAACGTTTTGTCTTCAAGCAATTTATCCTTCCTTCCTGCAAAGAAAGCATGTGTAGCATATCTTCTCATGTTTTATGATTATCTAAAATTTATGTTTCTTAGTTATGCTAAATATGTTTGGTTGCAAATCATGCTATGAATAAGTACAAAGCAGATTGCCAAATTGAATATCCTTCTGCATTTAAACGTGCTCTGAGCTTTGTTCGCATGCATCATTACTGCGTTTTTACATCAAAATTTAACTTTTTGAACCATCATTTTTCGACGACCATGAATACCTGAAAGTTAGCCTGTTAGTTCCGTCGTTTTGATGCGAGAACGTAACATTGTTTACTCCAGTTGGCCAAAACTTTAATGACGGTCATCGTCAACGAAGCAGAAGAGCTACTCCTCCAGAACATATGTTCCTATTTTTCCTGTACTTTTTTACAGGCGTCTCAGTGTAAAATTTTCTTTTGTTCATATTTTGTCATGATGTTATTGAATTTAAATTTGAATCATCATGAATGATCATGTTCAAATGTTAGTATTTTCCTGAGCAAAATTACATAGAATTTTAAGAAGAGGCTGTTTAACCATGATGTAACAGTTATAACAGCTTTGATATTACAGGTCAGACATCGCTTTCAATTGCAGAATATTGGACCTGTCGATTAGTGAAATATATGAACATCCAATATATGACATACTTTTAAATATCTCATTCCCAATTTTTGAAGCTAATGAAAAATAAAAGTTTCTTGTATCGGTTAATAGGTGATCAGAATATAGGAATACAAACGAGGCATGATTATTAACAGTAGGTGTAAAGGGCATTAGTAGTTTTTACAATATATTTGACATAAAAGTAGCCCTATATTGATATATATTTGATAACACCAGATATAGCATATTTGCAATTATTATACATGTACCAAAGACAAAGTATCACTAAAACAAATTCAGTTAAGGGATCCGTACGCCTTGCCAACTACCTTCAATTAAACAACAAACGGCATACTAACTAGACAACAATCCTAATTTCTATGAAGCTTTGCACAAAATGAATATCGAATTTAGATTTACACTGAGACTCCTTAAAAAGAACAAGGAGAATGGAGAATAAGACCAGATGTTCATCAAGGGAAAGCGTCTTCTGCTTCATCGCCGACAACATTCTCTATGTAAAGCTTGGTCAATCCAAGTAATATCGAGCTCCTTAATGAAAGGAAGGCAAATTAGAATGAAACCATCAAGGTATTTATGTCTCAATTATATCCAGCTTCATATCACACAGAAATATACCTTCCCCATAATCTTCATCATCTCGATTTTTGAGTTTGTCTGTTTGTTGCTGTCCTCTTATAAAAGATCATGATATTGGGAAAAGGCCCTGAGTGTCAGACTAACTGCTATGGATACTTTTAAACACTATAGATTAGGGAATACAAGGTGTTGCTATCAAGAAACAAAACATTCATAAGAAGGAAATTGATGCCAATTATACAGCTTGATGGAAAGGATTGATGCACAGTTGATTTTCGACGGTTTCGTTTTTCCAAAAACATCTCATTGATTTCAAACCTTGAAGTCGCTAGCATTACTTGCATTGAAAAATGCTTTCCACCTGTGTAAACAACATTTAACGAAAGCAAGCATTGTATAACAATATGAATCCTCCAAAAACAGTTTGTTTCTACCGATGTTTTTTATTTCTTTATATAAAGTTTATTATATACTAACAAATCTTTAACACCTGTTTCATTTTCTAGTTTGTCTGCACCAGTAGGAAATCTATCACATACATCAAGCCTTCTTAGCTAATTTCACTTGTTTGATTTAGTGCTTTTTACTATTGAGTAACAAATACCTATTTGATTTATTGCGTTTGATTTTGAATAACACCAAATAGATGCTTTATTAAACTGTATCAGTAACATTTGAATGCCATATATAACAGGTTTGCACTGCATTTCTAATTTAATTCCTTCTCTCTTAACACTGTTCTTATATTTTGCTTTTATTTATTTTACGTTTTAGATACCATATCATAGTTACAAAACTAGAAATGATTTCTTGCATTAACATAAAAAAAAAAATTCAGAGTGTAAAATATTTGGTGATATGTATGCAAGCATTATACAATTTTAGAAAATAGAAGCACTACCCTCGATTATACTTATAAACTTAAACTAAAAATTCTTATGATTGGTAACTTTATCTTATCGACTCTATAACATTAATATAAAGAATATATTCTGTTATCAATACATTATATGTTATCAATCCATGTATGTGTACTTTATACATTGCAAAAATTATCACACAGTAAGAAACTCGAAACCATTTATAAGGTTAGCATTTGAATATTACGTCAATTAATGCATACATGTGTACTACTATACAACGTTATACTTATCATTTAGCTGTCATATGTCCCTATCAGTGTAACTCAAAGTAACACGTGAAATGTTGTTAGTGTAATACAGAGCTTTAAAACATAATCAAGGGTTGTTTACTGTGCTACGTGTTGATGACTTATAAAACATTGTAATGACCAAACTTCTGTTTAAGAAACCAATGGTTTATTGATATATATGTTATTACAGGGAGCAACTTCTCAATAACATTACGGCAGGATACGACCCCCGGATACCTCCCGGATACGAAACGAGTAAGTACAGCTACAAAGTTGATGAAACAGTCCGAGTATTAATAAAGTTCGTTAACATACAGGTGTTTATAGGAAATCGATCTTTTATTAAGTTTCTGTATTAACTAATATATTTTCCCGGCATTCTACTAGTATCTATTGATAAGCCTGTCCCTGACTGTGACGTTAAATTAAAAAAAAAAACTTCGCTGTACTTAAATAACCCTTCCACTTGACTTAAGTAAGAATTGACTCCTCGGCTCTTGCAGATAATATGTAAAAAAAGGTATGTAGGAAAAACTTGTCCAAAATTGAAATTCTTTAATAACCATTCCTCTTGATTTTGAGTAAATGTAAGTATTGTCCAAAAATGGAATTCGTTAACAATCCCTCCACATGACTTTGAATAAAAACGAATATTGACCCTTTGGTTCTTGCAGATAATATGTAGAAAAAAGTAAATATTTTCTACTTGTCTAAAAACGGAATCGTCGTTCTTAAACCGTTATTGTAATTTTAATGCCCTACCCTCTGGTTAGCACTAATCTGCTGATCATTTCTTGTTATAACAGATACACCAATATCAATTTGGGACATTCATAAAAATTTAGTTGTAGTTAATCTTACTTACTACGCACAGGTTGAACATGTGTAATACATAGATGAAACCAGTTTTACACACTGATGAGAGATGTCAAATTTACATTTTATTCTTATTTTGAGTAAACACTTGATAAGATGCATGTGATATCAAAGTGTTTCTACTTAGGTTACATTATGATTCTATTTTGCTTCAGACACACCTGTCACAAGTTATGTACAACTTTATATCTTGTCCATCGACTCTGTCAGCGATTCCACCATGGTGAGTCTGATTACTTATCAATTATTAACATCTGTCCCTTCTATCTCTTACAAAATTGCATTTATAAATATATTGTCAGTACCAAGTTATCCCGTCATATACTTTTTATAAGTTGTTTGGTTATAAGCAATGTTTTGGTATAAACACGATGCAATAACATCAGTCAATCAGTGGGGTATATCTCTGGTAGTCTTTATTTGTAATCTAACTACCTGGCATAATACATATTAGTAATATTTGGATCATCTTTGTACTCATCTAAGTCAGATGGAATCTTGCATATATGTCTCATTCAGAACACTTTTGTAGTATCATGGTTTCTGTCAGTTGAAATAATACGTGTTTGTAACTTTCGGAGAACCTTTGTAGTCTTTATATCTGGATGTCAGTCAGTCAGTATATTGCATATGTTCAATATTCGGAGCACCTTTGTTGTCTTTACCCGGATTCTAATCGTTTGGCATATTTCTTGTTTGTATCATTCGGGGCTTCTTCGTAGTCTTCAAGATAGCCACTGTACATAAAACAGCAATATCCATTCGGATAATGTGGAAGTGATGTTGAAGTACAAAATGAAGGGTATTTTTAAAGCAGATAACTTGATTTGAATAGATTTGATTGTATGATAAGTATTTTATCTCTGGTATAAGTGTCGGATTCAGTTGAGTATGAATGCTTCTACGGGGAATAATCTAATATATTATTGATGACCTGAGCAATCGGCCTGTCAATGCTTCCGATCCTTTCCGATTCTAATTTCATATTTGTTTGTCATTTGGGACGATGCTCTTTTTTATTGACACAATATTATTAACCTATGAGACAAATAATTCGTGTAAATCTTTTTCTCATAGACGTGTGTTTATTAGCGTCTGACACTATGTAGCAAAAGAGAGTGATCACTTTATTCCCTCGTGTCCTAGTAAGCCAACGTGTACTCTTAATTATTCTCATTTTCTCTGAGGCGTGTATTGAAGTGACATATTAAGTACTTGGCTTGAGCTTACACATCAAATATTAAAACCATCAAGATAAAAAAAGTTCTTGCTTTAAAACAGAAAGGCTTTAATTATACATGATGTTCAGAAGTATAGAATGTCTGGGATTATGTTGACAATTCGTATTTTCATCATGATGTTGTTTCGTATTCAAGGTCAGCATTCGAGATTTTATTATGGAAGATAATAACTTGAGTTCTAATATATTCAACGAAATAAAATGAATACGGACAAACAAGTATTTCATTAGCGAATACGTTATAAATCAGATTAATGTAATGACAGAAGAGAATTAAGCATTGCAGTTTTTTATACGGTTTTAGGATTTCGGCATGAGTATGTTCATCAGGCAGAGATGGAATGACGAAAGACTAAAATATACTACCATTGGAGGTCTGAGTCATCTCGAACTTGACACCAAAATGATTGGAAACATTTGGGTACCCGACCTTTATATTGTTAACGAAAAGAAGGCGTCATTCCATATCGTTACAGTTCCCAATAAACTTATGCACATCTATCCTAATGGCGATGTGTTTTACAGTATGAGGTAAGTTGTCTTTTCTACTAGAGACCTGTTGTATAGTATTAGGAAAGTCAGTGTTTTCTAGTGTTACATATAACAATCTAAAGCCGGCAAGAGTGTTTGCAATTAAAGGTAGTATCAGATTGCAACAAGAATTAGTCATTTATTCTTGGAGGTAAGCATTTTTTCTCGTCATGAAACAAATGAAGTTATTAAATAAATGATATAATATTCAATTAGACGCAGTGATTATTATTATGTTGTAGCATGGCTCATTAACTTTTACATAAGAAAACATGAAAAGAGAGTACTTCAATATTAACCATTCCTTTAAGAAATAACAATACAGATTAAATAATTGATGATTCATGTAGACAGCAGGTCCTGATTGTTCAAAGGATGGTTAGAGATAACTAATGGTTAAGGAAAATTTTCAAATATGAATAATACAAAGTTCGGAACATTCTTTTTCATTTAATAGATATAGCTGTGTTGAAGCTAGTCAAATTGATATTCTTTTAGTGCCAAATTTCCTTTTTAATTTTTTTCCCATTGGCAACAATAGGATATTTTTACTAATCACTAATTACCTCGGACTAATCCTTGTGTAACCTTGGCTCTCTCTGATATTAGATTGACCACTACTTGTGATGGCACTTTACATCAAACTTTTTATTAACACAGTGAAACACGAATGATAACTTTTCTACTTTTTATAGGGTTTCCGGTCGATTCGCCTGTAATATGCATCTCCATAAGTACCCACTTGATGAACAGAGATGTTCCTTAAGGCTGGAAAGCTGTGAGTAAATATATACCAACACTTACACGTTATCTTTGTGGTACGAAGTTCAGTCACCTCGTTTCATTATGAATTCACCAATGTTTTCACGCTTTCGTAAACTGTCAAATTGGTCCTTTAACAGCGGATAAAAGAAGACGACTACTTGATTCATAGATAACGACAATAACTTTGTGATATTTTTTAAATATAAAATGTTCATTGATCACGTCTTCCAAAAAAATAATCAGTTTCTTTACGTTTTAACAAAACTCCGAATAGGAATATGTTGAAATAGTAGCCGGGGATGAGAAGACATAGATTGTGTTCAGCGTTTCCACGCTGTGAATAATGCATGTTGCATATGTATATATGCTGAATACCAGTATAAAAATGGCTGAATTCCCAAAAGACAAACATGAAATAGTTAATGTCTTCTGTATTCAATTGCTTTACAGATGGCTACAGTGTGGAAACATTGCTGTTACGTTGGAACGATAATCCAGTTGAAAAGTCGCCAAAACTATCTCTTCCACAATTCGAAATGGGTGACATTACAGATCACATATGTGATGTAACGTACGCGGGAGGTAAGTTGTTTGCATCATCAACGTGTCCGATATTAAGTATATGAAGTCAAACTCCATAACAGAAAGGTCTCTAACCTGCATTAGTAACATCCGGTGATGAAATAACATAATCAAGTTGTACAACCTTACGTATCACACCCTAACAACATTCAAAAACGGGTGTATTTCCTTTCGAAGTACATGTAAAGATGATATATATTCTCATTTTACATAGCAATATTGTGGGGTCACGATAGCTCAGTCGGTTAGAAGGCAATCCTTCACAACCTCGGCTAAAACTCCGAGGTTCGTGGACCGACGCTCTCTACCCTAGGAGGTTTGTGACTTCGAGGAGGTGAGAGCGGGACCGGTCAGTTCTGTGGTGGATGTGACTTTCTGCAACACGAAACCCTTAAATGCTCTAATACATAAGACACTGCCTCGAAATTAAACAGGTCATTTACGGCAAAACAAACCCAGCAAAAAAAAACAAATAAGTAATATCATACAAGCCTTGTTTTTTTCTGTCAAATTACAAAGGTTGGTTTTAACTCTTTCAGTGAATTACACATGTATCACGATGTCACTGAAGTTATCAAGGAACTACGGATATTACATGATTCAGGTTTTCATACCCAGTATCCTCATAGTCTTTCTGTCCTGGGTCTCCTTCTGGCTCAACATCGAGGCTGTTCCCGCCAGGATATCTCTAGGACTTTTAACTGTGCTCACCATGACAACACAGAGCTCTGGTGCACGTGCCACATTGCCACGTGTGTCATATGTAAAAGCTATCGACGTATGGATGTCTATCTGCTTACTTTTTGTGTTTGCCGCTTTGATTGAGTTTGCCTACGTGAACGTTCTCGCCAGAGTAGAACAAAGGAGGCGACAGACCATACGAAGCAAGGGTCCGCCACCCATCGACGAAGAAAACGGCAAAGGGGTAAGTCATTTGTCGTTTTCTGATCTAGCTGTGATTTAATTAATTTATCAATTTGGTCGGTTACCCGATAATTAATTATTTAGACAGCTCGGTGTTGATCTTGAATATAATTACAACATTATGTTGTTTTGTTTTCTTTTTCATTTTTTCTTTTATAATCTAGTTTTACATTTGACAGTATTATAGTACAAGCTACAAAATACACACGGCCTACCTCAACAATATTACACAACGTTTGTGTATGAATACATCTTATTTATTTACAGAAGTATAAATGTAAATAGTCATAAAATATGTCTGATAAACACGTATTCTTTTTTTAACTTTTTGACGTCACCAACATTCAAAAGCTCCCCCTGGTGTTAAGAATGGGTTTACCAGATTTATGCTTTATATGATTTGAGTAAGATGTAATATTGACAGAAGTAATACAGTTTACAGCCATGAGACGCTTGGTAAAACGATGGGAGGCATTAGGAACGCTTCATAAATCGCTGGGAGGCGTTATAAAAAGTTCATAAAACGCTACAAGGCATGTCGGTTCATAAAAATCCGCCAGGCTTAAAGAGCCTCGCAGCAAAATTTGGATGATAAACAATGTCTACTATTTCAGTTTCTGCTTCTGTTAACGACATCGATGTAGATAATTCAGATGTTTGCAGTTGTGTTTGGGGAATCAGTAGAACAAGAAAAAATGGAGATATCATTTCCGTCGTCGATCGGTGCTCATACCAAAGCCTGCTGAGAGAAAAAAAGCTATGGGGTGCTCTATAAGTATATTGGATAATAGCTGGTCTCTCAGTTTTACTTATTAATGATCCAGACTATGCATCTCAGTCATGTATTCATCAATCAACTTAGTAAAACTAATAACATGTCTATATGTCTTAATTGGATGGATGACTTCGCATCAGGATATGCTTGAACTGATTGAGGATGTCATGTTAAGTTAACATGGTGAAACCTACACAAACTGTTATCATATGTATGAATGTATGTTCAGGTGAATGTATTTATGATTCTCATATTTCCTTTTCAGGAGGAAAGTTCGGGTCCACAGAAAATGGGGAAGTTTTTTAAGGACGCGTTACGAAGAGAACGTGCTAGAAACGTAGATAAATTATCAAGAATAATATTTCCTCTCATATTTGGAATATTTAACTTATGTTTCTGGACAGTGTATATATTCTGGCAGCCCCAAGAGGTGATAGACGCAGACGCTGAAGTGATGTTAGAGGGCTAACCGAATAGTATTTGTTTCAATATACTGTAAACATACTTAATTTGGCATAATCAAATTTTCGCGCATAACATCATTTTCTGGCAGAATACCGCAATAACAAATTTACGAATCTACAAAAAGTATATGTAAACAGGACACAGAAACGCCAAACAGACTAGATCATTCTTTAAGGCAACACTTGAAGCGAAAAAGATGATGTTACCTCTAAAATATGTACGTTTACAGTAAATTGTTTCAATATTTTCTTGATAGACTTAACTTCAAATTGAAATTCAGCTTACAAGTGCTAAATTTCATGTACTGATTTTTTAGTAATACTCTCTTTTACCAAGGTATATCATATAAATGATTCGATGAAGCGATTTCCCATTATTTCTCTAACATGTGTGAAATTAATGTAATAGTGTTGAAGTGCAATATATTGAACCCAATAAATATAGATTTGTCATTTTATCTATCTGTACCATTCAGCAATCTGTCATCAGTAATCATCACAACATAGCCATATAGTATCAGAAAATTTCAGATCTCTTACTCAATAAATATTTCTTGATTATTTGTTACTGTTTTGATATATGACCTCAGTAACTGTTTATATCTGTAGCCATGTGAATCTATCAATGTCCCGATAAAGTTATATCACATCAGAGCTATTTAGGTATTAAGCTATGTAAATTTGCATCGCATTACGACTATCTGCCTCTGTATAACTACAAACTATATAAAATCAATATACACTTTTTATATCTATCTGTAGGAACATATCTAAAAACACATTTAACGAGAAAATACCAATTCGTCAAAGTATTTTCCACTGGTGTTTATGCTAGTGTGAAGCCACATCGGTTGCGTACATTTCGCAAACTGTTGTAAAAATTGGAGCAATGTCTTTCCATTTTTAAATTTACACTTTACTAACCACAGTTTTTCAATGTACCTTAAAGTTTCAGTTTCAATCCGAAACCTATTTATCCGAGTAAATTTGCTGTTAGAAATAATAGCTTCTGTCTAGAGTTCGGACGGACTGGTCCACATGGATATCACCAAGACGATGGTTCAGTGATAGATATAGCTTACAGAGGTAACAAATTATTATTTAATATTGTAATATAATAACATTCTAATAATGAATGGAATGGGATCACGATTAAACTCCAGGAATCACCGAAATTAGAATTTCATCTGGACGCTTTATATCAAGGTTGTTAATTTTTGGTGATGCGGCTCCATCAGCTGACTGTAATTGCTGAAGCATGAAGGAGCCATACTTCGAAAAACTACTGTGAACCCCGTTATTTATTAATAACTAGGTATAAGTATACGTTTACCATTAATGTCATTGAATCACTGTAACAAAACATTATGTTAGACAAGTGTTAAGGGCATTGAACCAATTTATCTGATCTATCTGATATCGGGTAACCAAGGACACTGACTGAAAATAGGCTTAAGTAAAGCCACAACATTGAAGAATTGCCTTAAGATATCATAAGAACATCTTACCACAATTTGTACATGCGAATCACTTTTTTCTTTTACTACTGTAGAAATTGTTATCTTGATATTTCCTGGAAAAAAAGATTTACATCTTTACAGACCTGACCAAAATCCAAATGGCACTATAGTCTTGCAATTTTCTTCTTCTAGTTAGGACCACAAGATGGGTATTAGTTTAAATGTAGACATTGTCCTTTTGACTCGTGCCTTCAACTTCAATTGGTGTGTGGTACAATTGTAAATTAGACACCAATATGCATATTTTAATCGCCTTGCTACTGCTGGTAGTATTTTTTTAAAATAATTACATTTTCCCTGAACATTTCAAGTTTAACTCTACCATTGGATCTCTTTATTATGTTTGAATCGTGATAACGAAGTTGAGTGCCATATTGTGGATGTAGCATATATGTGCTAATTGTGCTTAATACAGTAAAAGGTGTGTAAATAAAAATGCGCTAATACAATGTTAGTATTTGTCAATTTGTATCGACTTTGACTTTGCCTTTATAATATGTGTGAAATGGTCAAAATTATTTCAATCTAAAATGCCTTTATCATATTTGCTTTCAACATATCATTTCCCGTAGTATGACATCATATTGGTATGGATCGATAGATTGTAATCCTATCATCCAATCATCCCATAAATTATTTATAATTATTAATAAAGTATTTGTTCTCAACTTTTGACAGGTTATACTACTCCTGCTAAATTCAATACATAAAATATAGTATTAGTACCAATCTTTAACTACAACGATTTGAAACGATTTCCTTCAACATTCTATTCGCTTGATATTTACATTAAATACATTAAATTAATTGAAATACAGCTGAGCCTCGTTAACTCGAACTGTTCTAACTCCAAGACCTTGTATAAAATTCGAGATATATCGTCGGTCACGGACAAATTTCACACCAAATAATCGAACTTGCTTAAATCATATGCTCTCATAACTCGAAGGTTTCCCATGATCCCGCCGACTTCGAGATAACGAGGTTCGACTATACACATACTATTATATATATCAACATTCGTATTGACAGTGACACATGTTTTCCATAATGTATTTAATGATATAAATGACAGTGTTAAACATTTACCAATTTTTTACAAATGCATTTACTGAAAATAAATTTTCACGAACAACCAGTTTTTGCTTGGCTTTTTTTATTTATTATTTGGTAATTGTAGCAAAGATAATAACAATCTTGTAACTTTTGATTTTGAAGTTTATTTATCTCACAACTACCCTGTTATGTGTGTGATGACACAATTTTGCTATGTAGAATAAGACTAAACGAGCCTATGAATGGCTAAAAGTTCCTATTGTTTATGACGCAATATGTTCATGACGTCATCTGCATTATGACGTTACCAAATATAGAGATATAGAATGAGATTATCCCAAGTCAACAGTGATTCAGATGGGTATTGACAGAGATACCAGAAATACATAATTAGTGGATTGAGTTCTTAAAATGAAGAAAAAAATTAAACGATAAAACCGCAGCAAGTTTTACTGGCCTGTACAAAGTAAAATTACATATACAGTGACAAATAAGTGTTGAGAACATATAGGACAGTACCATATTTAAAATTTCTTACAAGGAACTTTCATTCTTGGTATTACGTGATGAATACTTTTTAATATGCCCATGTACATGAACGTTGTTATGAAATCATCAAAAATATTAAAGTTATGAATGAGAACGTGCACCTCCCCTTCTGGGTTCTGACATATCTTACCATCAATTTATATTTTCCTCAGTGGCATTAATTTCTTGGAAAATTACACGAAGGTTCTATTTTGTCATTGTGTCCAGTCTTCCTAGAATCGGTCAATATCATCAAACTCAAAGCCAGTAAACATTATATAACCTCTACACGCTACACGCGGAAAAATAACTTTTGTTCTTACACAGATAAGGGAAGAGAATGCTCTATGCTATATTTTATTCAATCTAGAAAAATTCTGTCATTTTTTAATTGGGAGTAGGGAGGAGGTGAGCTTTATTACTTGAAATTATACCAAAATATTCTGTTGCAAAATGTATTAATAGACTGCATATTCATCCATGTGCAATAGTAAAACTTCGATAAAGAGCCTTGCCCGGCTTTACATTAATTGCATGAAGATTTCTGATGAGGTGTATCAATAATACTTTGGTCTGTTAAATCTATCAAGAGTTGGATACATTTCTAATGATACCCCACAGTACTTACAACCAGCAACGTTAGCTCTGACTGCAGTAGGAGAGTGAAAGATGGTAAAGAAGTACGGAATGGTAATAAACTGTGCTACAGGAACTTAATTGGTCGATGATTAAGGAACAATCACTAAGAATTTCTTATTGCCTTCAGGCAAGATTTAATAGTCACGTGCTGTATCAGTTTATGTAAATTTCACTCTTGCATCACACGATTCGGTCAATACATTTTCCCAGACATCAAAATAGGCGAATATTCCTCGAAAGAATGGGTAATGGTTGATATGCAACCAATAGAATGTCTGATAAACTAGTTCAGATTAATAGTCACATTACACAATCTGAGAGTAAGTTAAAAGCAAAGCAATGCTTTATGTGATTATAGATATTTCCCAGGAAACATATTACCGATATCATTCTTACACGAGTCCACGTTCTACTGCTCTCCGTACGTCAAATATGCAACAATGTTATGGCATAAACTTGTCCGAGGATATCTCAGTGTTCACATTGGTTCGATAACAGACTGAAAGGACCATCCTTAATGCTTTACTATCGTCTGTGACTGACATCATTTCCTGTGTTTTGCATAAAGCATTTAACGGGAGCCATATAGATAGTAGACTGCACAAATCTAGCAATAAAGGTCACGTATTCAACGAGCTTGATAATTTCCATATCAAATAATATTTTCGCTACGAAATAAATCGCTTGATATTATTTCCATAGGGACAACATACATGGTTACCTTTGAGATAGAACAGTGAGATTTGTCGCTCTACAGTCCCGCCAAGATTACCATTCTTGGATAATGTACAATTTCTGTGCCGAACCACACTCAAATGACACTCAATTGTAGATAACCCTTTTTTCGAATTACCTACAGAATAGTTTTCAATTTTGAGTAGGAAAACATTTTCTATAGAAATTTTGTCCAAAAAAATTTTTTTGCGATACAATCAGAATATGTTTGTTTTGTTTTTTTAGGGTTTTTCGAAGTCCATGTTTGTGATATACATAAAGATGTTTGAACCAAATGTCTTTCGACAAATCCTAGGAGGACAAATCAGCTGTATGTTGTGTGGTTTACGGGCATCATGAATACCGACTGGATAAGCGCAAAGTTTAATGAAGCGCATGCGTTAGAGCTCCATGTTGAATTTTTCTTTATCTAACTGGCATTCAAAATACAACTGAAGTAGTTCAGTTCATCATTTTCACTTCAAAGGGATGCAATCTCGATTGTATCAATAAAGTCCTGATAGATTCAATCAACATTAATTTTTAAAAGATGTTACATCTGTGTTTACATTCATTTGATATCTTCTCAAATCTGCTTACAATACAGGTTTTAATTAGCCAATCAAATATCATTTCCGGCCTAAAGTATTAAGTTACACGTATAATTATGACTTTGTATCGGTTACACAGTTATATTGTTTTCCGTTACTATAATGTATCGACAAACCGACTCCTGTATCACGCTCATCAATATCCGTTTACTGACCTGGCCCCACTTGTATAAAACATCTCAACTTGAGATTTCCTCAAGTCGAGATTTTCCTCAGCAGATATCTCCTCAAAAACGGCTTGTATAAAATTTTCTCAAGGAACAGGAGGAAGGCATCGGCTAGGATGTCCTGAAATTCCTTGAGGAATTTCATACAAGGTATTTTCAAGGAGATATTAACCGAGGTATATCTGGGCTTGAGGAAATCTCAAGTTGAGATGTTTTATACAAGTGGGGCCTTAAACACGAATAGAAGACATCTATCACAGCATATATCAGCCAGCTGATGGATGATGCGGTCACCTTACCTCGGTAATTATACTTTACCGAGAGACTCGGCTGTCACAGATAAGTTCCAGCCGCTGTAATGAACACTATTGTAATGTGAGATCAGCCCTATTGATATTGACTGATTGCTGTCCCATCTGCTTTAATACTATACATGTACCCTAAGGTCGATCATCCTGTACCGAAATGATGTGTCCCAAGCGTTTTGATCTACAAAAACTGTGGTATGACATGAAAACCTTGCCTGATGATTTAGTTTTCACCTTTGATGCCAGTCACATGACCTTGACCAGTGGATGGCAATCCATCAGGTTACGTCGATCAACAAATGCTGTTTTGATTTTTCACTAACAACCATTATAATGTATTGAACAATCAAACAGCGTATCCGTTTTTTTTTTCATTTTTGTAATTCTTGTCACGATGACAATGCGATGGACTCTGAAATGTGTGCATTTTGTATAGAGAGTGAAAGCAGTATTTGAAAAGGGCCACAGAACACCATTTTAAAATGTTGACAAGTCACATTATTTTAAAATCTGGATGAGTCCAACCGGAAGAAGCACGACGCCCTATATATATATAAAAAAAAACAAAACAGATTAACATTTCGGTTCACATTAACGTGTAATTCTGCTCTATTTCATATAAAGTATCTCTCATAATTTCAATATATTTTTATGATTTGTATTTATCTTGAACAACTATTCCTGTCTTAAAATACGGATCGTGTGTGGAAGTAGGTAAGCATTTTTCACGAATAAACAAAATTGTTGTATATCCATTTTCGCCCTGGACCGTTCATTGTGTTTCTTACTGAATTGAGGTAAATACACGCTCCTAATTACGTCATGAACTGTTGATGCTGCGTAAGGAAGAGGACTGTTTAAACGCTGTGGTCCGTAAGTATCTTTATTGCCTGGAAGAAACCAAAGACTGACGTAATTGGTCAAAGCATACAACCAGTTTATCACAGCAAACATTATCGAAACTCCAGGGGTTACACTCACTATGGTTCTCTGCAGAGAGCGAAAGCGATTATAATCCTTGGAGTATTGATAATGCACAGAGAAATAGGCATTTGTAAGAGATAAGACTAATTTTAGGACCCAAAAATGAAATACGGCATTTTTGGGTCCTAATAATTTGACGAATTATAGGGAAGGGATAATTCCGATTAAATGTACCAGATGTGAAGATATCAGTGTTTTTATTCACTGTCCTATGTGACCTCTATATAGCTATGTAAACATAGATCGATTCCTAAAATTCTCTAGTTTGGCACGAGCTCAGGCCGTCAAGCGCGTATACAACATTGTTGTATGTAAGCGTCCTGAAGTATACACAGCAAGTTATTCATATAAATTTCAAAGTGTTATTCATAGCAACAAATGCATTGTTACCTGCCAGCTATAATTAGAAATTTGAAACGATGTCAACGACGCTAATATGTAAATGGCATTTAAATATATCATACACATCACCGGTGTGTTCGGTAACGTTCCTGACAGCTTGTTTGGCATTCTGGTCAAATGTGTTACTCACCTGAGATCAAGCAATTTTTTTACGACAAGTTTAAAACTTTTCAAAGAGGAACATACATGATTGGAAAACCAAAACACAGACTCGAATTTAACAAAAATATAGGTGACATGGTTACACAGTACATCATTGATTAAAACATGTTTAGATGATATTCCTAATAAACAACCATGCACTCCAGCAAACATCTATTTAATGTCATTTTCAAAACCAAATGCATATGCATTTTCTTCATTCCTAATCATGTTTTTTTTTTAAATTGATAATGAAAAGGTTTATCAACTGTAGTGAAATAAACATATTGTGTGCAATGTCAGAAAGTATGAAAACCAACGTTGTAACCAGATGTAATTGACAGCTGCTTTGATTCCTAAACAAAATCTTTGTTGGGTGTATCGCCCCGTCTTCTTGAGACAGGATATCTATAGCCGGTGGCTACCTCACTGAATACCATACGGGAGGTCCGTAGCATGCCATACGGAGCATTTGTTGTAAATTGTTGTTATCAACGATATTCAGGAATGTTTAAATCACCAAAACGGCTATTAAGTAGAATTCATAGAGGAGTAGTATTACAAGTGTATGACCGAGTCCAAAATCACTTA